CCATACAAAGTTGAAAAACGCTCAAAAAATCACGTTTATATCAAACAAAACAATAATTTGATACCTATTCACCTGAATCGTACTAAACCTGCTTATATTTTTAATGAAAATAAAAATGAGGTCTCTGATGGATCAAAACAGAAACAGGTTCGATTTGCAATTAATTAGTACTTTTTATTTTCTTTTGAGGGGGAGTATTTGTGGCGTACTCACTAACTCTTAATTAGTTACTGTTAATATTTATTATTTACTTTTTGTCAATTTTTATCATCCTGTGTTACTTGTTTATCTTAACTACAAAATAAAAAAGTCAGCAAAGAAATCGATCCTATTAATTGCATTTTGGGTATAAAATTAAGAACTGAAATAGCGAATCCTCACAGAAAATTAGCGGATCCCCGCAACAGTCGCATTTCTGTTTCTATTATTATACCTTCTGCATCCTTTTCCAAAATACCAGAATCTTTGACAATTGTGTCAATCGATTTAAGAAAATTGTCAAACGTTTTTAAAAACTCTTGTATTTTAGATCTTTTCCTTAATAATTTCTCAACCTCAGTCATTATTAAGAGCGTTTACCACCTTAAAAGACAAGAAATTATAGTTAACTTATCTGAAAATCGAATCAGTATGATCTTTGACCAGGATTTTTGGCCCAGCTCCTTTTCGTAACTTCGTATCGCTTTGTTTTGCTTAACCCTCGACCACAGCCTCGACGTATATTTCGCTTTTTCGTATCCAGGCTCATACAGGACCAAATGGAACGGATTGATAGTTTGGGTTTTTGGAAAAGGCGTTTATTTCGAAATTACAAATTCGAATAATCACAACTCATGTTACCATAAAAACATAATAAAAGATAATGGGGTCTATTCTGTAACAATTCCTTTATATTTAACGGCCTTTAATAATATTGGCGGCCTTTAAAAATATTTTCGTATTCGTTAATTCACTTCTGTCATTAATTAAAGATTTCTTTAAGATAGTCCTCTAACATATTTTAAAGATCCGTTTAAATAATGAGAGGTAAAGAAGAAAATATTTTTAAAGGCCGTTAAATATAAAGGAATTGTTACAGAATAGACCCCTATATAGGGTGTAAATCTAAACACCGCTGAACTGCAGGATCTGCTGGAATCAACCACTCGCGTATCGGGGACAACACCAATCATTTGTAAATGCTGTGGTAGGAGGTGTTTCTGTGAATGCGTCTTGTTTGTTTTCATTTCCGCCTAGCAGTAGTATTTTATAAACCTTAGAGGCAAATTTAACATACATGAACAAATAATAATAATGCCGTGACAACAAGAAGACGAAGCAACGACTTCTCGTAGGGTGGCGGCGAAGCCGCCACCAGAAAATTTAAATCCCTAATTAGCTACGCCGACCGGCATAAACACCAACGGCCTGAACACAGCTCACCTACTCTGTCAAAAGGAGACCGATGTACAAATAAAACGCGTACAATATGAGCACTACAAATGATTAGTGTTGTACCCGATACGCGAGTGAATCAACCCCCCTAAACATTAGATAGACCCTTCCCAATCATATAACTAGAAATTCATACTATTTGTACAATATCGTGATTTAGGTTTTTGTGGTTTCCCTAAATCATATTCCCCACCTTATACTTGGACTTGTCCATTTATGAGGTTGGAAATAGCAAAATTGGCGATATTTTGGGGGAACACAACCTGCCACACAGGTCCCACATGCGCATAGGTTACTTATCGTAATCAGGGCAGACCACCCTGAAAAGGAGGATAACTCCTATAGCAGGGAATTAGGAAAATGAAATGTCCCAGAAAAATGTAAAAGAGTTATGAAACTAAACCAAACTAAAAAAAAAACGTCAGTCAGTCAGTCAGTTTTATGATAGACGTTCTACGTTAATGTTATCAAATGAATTATTGTATCAGTTGAGTTGAAATAAATTGAGTTAGCAAAAACCTGCGTAACAATATCAAAAAACTCATCAAGAGTAGAATTGTGTTTTATCTCTTTGAGATTCATACTCGCGTTTTGTATCAAAATCTAACTTTCTGCAGAGAATATTGATAATCATAAGATGATCTGTCTCTATTATAAAAATTTTGAAACTTTCGAAATGCTGTTTCATTTCTGTTACAAAATCTCCTAAATTCTATACACTGCTCTTAGATATTGGAGCGTAGTCTATAATAGTATAATAGCGTTTAGGTGTGAATATGAAGACTAGATATAAGGAGACGAATCAGCATACTCAAAATACGGTCCCAAAAAAAACAATTATAGATAATTAACCGCATGGGCGCTGGTACTGCATGCGGTGTTCAAAATACATGGCTTCTTATGGGAAATATACACAATTTTGTCAAAATAATAAAAATAAACTTGTTTATAGCTAAATAAAGTACAGAACATACTGTTTATTTATTTCTAAATAAGTCTTGCATGTTTTAATTGGTAAATTATTTAATTGTATCTATATAAAATACAAATTAGGTATGTATGACCAAATTCGAAAAGGTTTTTTAAATGCTGAAATTTGAGTAAAATAAAACAGAGTTAACAGATTTTTTATTGTTGTAACACAAGTATAAAGGGAGATTTGGGAATGTACATGGTATTACCTCATCCTTTAATTTCAGCTTTCCTCTTTTTATTTTGCTAACAGTAACATCAGTAAAATAGTCTCATAATATTTAATAATATCTTCTAAAAAGTATAGAACCGCCATCATCTCTAGAAAGTGCTTTGTCGGCACTAGGAACGATATATATGCTGCCACTGTTCTAAACGTTTAGTATCCTATTAAAAACATTTACAATGACACAATTGGGGTACAAAAAAAATAACAGTAGCAACTCTTTATCTAACATTAAAACTATAAAAAATAAATTTTCTTTTCTATTAAATTAAATTTAATGCATAATTATTGGTGTTTGTAAGTCCGCATCTATAACTGTAAAATTTTACATTATAGAAACTTGTAATAAAATTAACCACACTTCGTAATATACATATTGTGACTAGTTTCCCAGATAGCACAAATACGTCTTATGGACGTTCTAAAAACGTCCCGCTTGGATATTCAGGACATTTAAGGACATTCCATGGACATTTTCAAAAGCTCAAATGGGGAATAATAGGATGTAAGGAAAGTAGTGAAAATAATGAATAATTTCAAAAAAATTTATTTGGAAGCAAATAACCTAGAAATAGTGAAATTATTAAAACTTTTTCGTCAAATTCATCCCGTCTCTCCTCTACTTTGCTCTTTTCAATCATGCCTGGATTGAGAGCAGTCAGTTTTTATCTTGATTTGGTCATAATTGCCTTCTCAACTGAATCTGAAAATAATTTAATCGCTTATTTAAAATAAAAGGCATATCAAAATTAAAATCCAATCAGTTTGTTTCAGTTTGACTTGCTAGACATTATAAATTCACTAACCTTTTAGCTATGAAAAACTTCCACCTTTCTCAGATATAAAAATGGTACAAATGGCGGAATGATAGAACTTGTACTCGTATAATATGTATATACCATCGAATCATGAACATTGAATACTTTTTTTTTAATAAAACCTGAGCCCTGGGAATATTTCACTTCAGTGCTTGAATCTGAATCATATATCATATCTAAATAAATAAAAATAAAAAGTCACTTGTCAACAATGTCACTTTCTTGCAAAAGATCTTCTTCGTTTTTGTCTATTTGGCCTTCATTCAATTGGATATTGGGACAATGCCATCTTTAATAATTATTTATATTATCTCATTATATATGTTTTTTGTATAATATAACCAAATAATAATACAATGCGAATGTGAATCCATGGAAATATAGTAAAGCACGTACAATTGACGTTTTGCGGATATCTATTTCTTGACGTCCAGAGGATTTACTAAACTGGACATACTTAAAACGTCCATAATAGGTCCCGGACGTACAGACGTTAAATGGACATGTATTGGACGTCCTTAGGACGTCCTGTGCTATCTGGGTTACAATACAGTCTGTTCGCTATACTTACGCGGGTTTCGGATTAACAAAATTATGCAAATTAGTAATTGACAACCAGTTCCAATAAGCATCTTCCCAAGAAATTAGGTAAAATTGCCCTAAGGTCAGATTTAAATTAAAATAACATTAGGGTAGGTACTAAATTTGTTACAAATATTGCATATTTTCTGTGTGAAGTGTAATATAAAATTATTATTAGGTTTATAATAGCCACATTAGACTCCATTAATGAAGAAGTTTAATTCTGCTCTCAATTATACAAAATATTCTCCATTATTATTTAATTAAAAAGTTGTACATTATTTTTCATTTCATTTAAGCAGTTGATATTTCCCCAAAGAACAGGTCAAACTTTAAGGTACTTACCTGGAAATACTCATAAAATTTTTAATCCGAAACCCGCGTAAGTATAGCGAACAGACTGTACATAGTAGTAGGTAAAGTGCCGCTCCTGTCTCAAGGGGGGTTATGATTGACAACCTATGTTATTTTTAACAGGTCTGTTATTTTATAAACACACAGAAATTACAACCTGTTTACAAATAACGTGTCTGTTAAAAATAACATTACTTGTCAATCATAACCCCCCAAGTTCGATCTCAAATCCAGCACTTACTGTTTTAGTATATAGTGCCGCTCCTGACTCAAGTTGGATATTCTGTACATACATCAGAAAGAGAAAGAGAGAGAGAGAGAAAGTATGAAGAGAGAAATATAAAAGGGGCATCCTGGCTCAAGTAACAACCGGTTCAAACATCAAAAAATATCTAAGACTCAAGTGACAACCGCTAAAAACATCAAGAAAATATTTAAAACTTTAAACGTTAAAAACATCAAGAAAAAGGAAGAACCTCCCATACTATTAATTATCCATTAAAATTCATGACAGAGATCAAGACGCAGTTTATGCTTAGTTGTGATTAATTAATTGCAATCATATTCAAATTAGATCTGTTGGAAAAATACCGCACATACCTTTAATCGTGAAACTAATTTTTAAGATGTGCTAAAAAATCGTCATCGATATACTGATACAATTCAACGTTCTCATTATCCAAATAATGCTTATTTGCCCTCATGAAATCTATGGATAAGTTCTGATACTTGCAGATATATTCCCAATCTAAGTTTTCTTTAAATTCGTCTATAAATTTTTCACTCAAAACTTGATATTTAGAAACAACATTCCAATTAACTCGATTTAAATAAGTTCTCATAAAATCTTCACTGAGCTTTTGATAACGACAAATTAAATCCCAATTTACTTCTTGTTGGGAGAAAATTATAAACTCCTCAGTTATAACAGGAGATTTAGAGATCTCACGCCATATTTTTTGATAACCCATTTATAAAGAAAAAAAAATTATAAACTACTTTAACTCTAAGATTACAGTAATATCAGCTCCATTAAAATCAATTAATTCATCGTTTTCATCACATATTCTGAGTTCAATTTTGTAAATATTATTATACTGAATTGGATAATATACAGGAGTAGGTTCATAAATTATCAAATTGTTAAAATAAGAATTTAGTTTAAAACAAGAGATAATGTCGGTTTCTCTATGAATAAACTTACCGCCTTCTACTAACATTCCATTAGCCAAATTACAATGAATATTGAATGTTTCAACAGGAATAAATTTCTTCGAACTATTTAATAAATTTGATAAACAGGATTCAAGTATTTTATGAAGAGAATTAATTTCTATTTTATTCCCATTTTGAATCAAATCAAATCCGTATTTATTTAAATATGTTCTAAGTGATGTGTAATTATAATATCCTTCTTGAATAGCTAAATAAGTTCCGTTATAATAAATTTTATTATTTTTATTTGTAACATTATTAATCAGATTCGTTGAATAGAAACCTAATAGACCAACTTTGAGACCATTTGTTGGAAAATGTGTCTCAAAATGATAAGTCAGTACAGATTTGTTACCTTTTAATACAAAAATTTTATTTTTAAATGGATGTTTATGGATTTCCAATTAATTCGAACTCTAATATAGATCTTTCAAATATTAAGGTGGAAATATATCAATTAAAACAACATGGCTTACCATTAACTGAAATAAATAATGTTAAAAGTCAAATTAACAGTTTAAGCGATCAGATTAATATAGTAACGAGAAAACAAAATCGAAGATTAAGTAAAAATCCAAATATTGTTTCCAAAAATCAAGAACTTGAAGACCTAAAAAAAGAGATTGAAAAACTAAAACTAAAAGGAGCACCTCAAGATGACATCACCAAAAAAATTAAAGAACTCAAATTAAAAACAGAAGATTTGAATAAATTAAGCCGAGAATTAGAAGAAGCTATCATTGAAATAACTATTGATGATTTAAAGGAACTAACAAATCGAATAATTAATCTAGAAAACAATCTAACTACCTTTATTAATAAAATACGAAATTTAGAAAGGCTTAATAAGAATAGTCTGAAAAAATTAACACAATTAGATAGATATTGTTAAACAAATTGAAGAACTAAAAAAATCTGGGGCCCCCACTAATTAAATAGATAAGAAAATTAAAGAATTGGAGCAATTAAACACATATTTAAAGAATATTGTAACAGATATTACAGATAATGATTTAACAGAATTAGATGAACGAATTGAACACATTGAGTTAAATATGAAAGATGTCAGAAACACATTAAGTGGACTTAACATAACACCAATATATAAAGGGTAGAATTGTAAAAGCTCTTGATGCAGTAGACGATTATGATTTAGTAACGAAAAGACAACTAGCTGAATTAGAAAGAAGATTAAAAATACAACAAATTAAATATAATTGTATTCATTAATTTCAGCTTGCTTTAAATATTTTTCTCTGGGAAAGAACTGAATATTCCCAATAAATTCTTTTTCTCTCAAATATATTTCTTGATCGTTTAATTTCTGAGCTTTATTAAGATCTAACATTTGTTTATAAAATTTATAGCACACCCTGTATTCAGTTAATCTCTCATTTTGTCTAACAAATCGTTCAAATATCTCTGCTATGCCAGAGAACAATGACATAAAAGACAAGGGAAGATATATGTATCCGCCTATTCCGGAAACACTAAAACATAATTTTAAAATTAATAATAAAATACTAATTTGTGAATAATAATTAAAACTTTTTCTGTAAACAAATAAGCGCTTCTCTAAATATTCTTCCATTTAATTAACGAATATTAATAATGAAACGATAAGTGCATGTGCACTTGCTAAGTGCAATCTGTAATGATAAGTGCAAAGTGTAATGGTAAAATTTTTCAAGGCTAAATCGCTTGCTAAAAAAAATTTCGTATCTCGTTGGAAGTGTTAAATCGTGCACTGCATCGAAATTATTGCACGGAAGTAAATTAATCTAGAAATTTAGTCATCTATAAATATTAATTTTATAGAGTTTCAGTTTTTTATCTCATTTTATGTGTTTTTTATTGATGGATATTTATTTTATCTATAGTCCAGTCAATAATATATTTAAAAAAAATATATTTAATAAATGAATAATTATAAAATTACACCATTTAAAGAAAATGTACCGGATCAGTCAAATTTATTTCCAACACCTCTAAGATGTTTGATTATTGGCAAATCAGGTTCTGGTATGACAACGGTTTTATGGAATGTTATAACCAAGTATTGGGTTCATTATGAAAGTTTATTAATCTTTACAAAATCAATTGATCAACCAATTTATCAAGAATTGCAAGATATATTTGTTAGAATAGATAAAAAAATTGAATCACATTTCTACGATAACTGTGATGACATAATTAATGTAGATGAATGTAAACCAAATAGTCTAGTTATTTTTGACGATTGCATTTTAGAAAAACAACAAACAATTAAGGATTATTTTGTTAGATCTAGGCCAAAAAATATTTCTTGTATTTATTTAACTCAGTGTTATAGCATAGTCGATTTACAATTAGAACAAATTCTAATTTTCTAATTATTTTCAAACAGTCTCAACATTACGTCAAAAAGATATGAAAAGATTTTATAACAGAAATGACGTTTAAAAACTTTTATTCATTTTGTAAACCAGGATGGGAACATGATTACGGTTTCGTTTGCATCGATTTGAAAAACAATAAATTCTAAATGATTGGAGTGGATTAGAGGTAAAACAAAAACAATTTCTTCCTATTACTAATGCATTACAAAAAGTTGACCAGGCTGTTATTAACACAGATATTGATATAAATAAATAATTCCAAATATTCCAGCTTTACCTTTACCAGAAATAAAAGAATCAGAACATATGGAAACTCAGACACATGCTATGATAAGTCTAGGTCCAATTTCCTCACATTATTTAAAGAGAGTACCCACAAAAAGAGAAATAAAAAAAATGTCAGATCGGTATGGTATTTACAACGATGCAACTAAAAATGCGTATATGATTGGGAATATGGAAGTGTTCTTCAAAGATAATGATATCATTGTAGGTGAGACAAAGTATATTCGTACAACAGGTTTGTGGGAATTACTAACATCTGCCGACGCGCCAAATCAACAAATGTATACTAAAAATGACTACAATAACTATAAAATAATTTTGTTTGACACTAATTGTTTATATCAAAATTATGACAAATCCACAGGAAAACTTCGTTCAAATGGAGGTAATAAATATCAAAACTTAATCAAATTTATATGGGTTGAATTTAAATCTAATTTACCGATAACACCTTTTAGAGATAGATCTTTCTCTTGGGATTATGACCAAGATTTGGTTGAAACTCCTAAAAGGATATGGAATAAAGAAATATACAGAAAAATAGAATATAAATATATAGACAATCTCAATGAATTACTTAAAAGGTTATATTTTATTACATCTGAAGAAAAAGCTGGCAATAATAATTTTCACAACGAAAAATTAGAAGTTGTGCATTTAATTGCTAGAGAAATGGAAAATATTATTGATACTCCTAAAGGTATTGAATATTTAATTTCTCATCATGTATCTAGTTTACCTAAGAAAGTAATTAAAGGATCAGAATTATTAAATGGTTTTATAAATAATTTACCATTTAAACTCCATTGGCCAGGTTAAAAACTATCTAGGTCCTGGTACAAATTTGAATGAAAGGTTAGTTAGAGGTGATAAACCTGTTGATAAGTTAGATGAAGCGGCAATGGAGCATAGCATATTTTACAGAGATCATAAAAATGTTAAGGAAAGACATAAAGCTGATGAAATTCTTAAAAATAAAGCTTGGGAACGAGTTTTAGATTAAAATTCTACGTTAAATGAAAAGATACCTGCTTGGGTAACAACGAATGCTATGAAATTTAAAAGATTTTGTGGAATGGGTTTTAAATAATTAAATATATTCAATTTTTTATCTTATAAATGGAGTTAAATTTAAATGATAATCAATTAAAGAAAGTCTCTTCAGCATATAAAAAGAATGAACAAATTGGCAATGGAAATAATAAATTCATTTTAAATCAACGTCAAATTAATAAATTAAAAAAGGCTAAAAATAACGGTACATGAATTAGATTAGAACTTAATATGATCAAATAAAGTCTGGTGGGTTTTTACCGTTACTATTGGCAGGCATTGGTGCTCTAGGATCATTAATTGGAGCAGGAAGTGCTATAGCTAATACCGTTATCAATAAGAAAGCTAAAGATAAAGAGTTAGAGGAACAGCAAAGACATAATAAAACTATAGAAGGAAAAGGTTTAAAAAAAAAGTTTAAAAAAAAAACAAAAATAATACCGTTAAGCAATTATGATATAGTATTATATTCAAAATATATTAAAAATGTTCGAGGTTGTCTTATGAAAATTGAATTACCATTAAAATCAAATAAAAAAGAATGTGGAATATTAAACTTAAATATTTCTAATCAAAATGGATCTCATTGCGTTGCTTGGTTTAAAAAAGACGATTTCAAATTTTATTTCGATTCTTTTGGAGATGTTAATCCACCGATTGAGTTAGTAAATTACTTTGGAAAGGATAATCTTTATTATAATGATGATATATCAAAACTTTAATGATCCGCCCATATGTGGACACTTACGTTTAATTTTTTTAAACACTAATACAAATTTTTTTTTCCTAGTAAATGGAATAAATCTTCGAGAACTATTCATCAAACATTATTAAAAATGAATTTGAAAATTTTCAACCAACTTCAACGTTAAACTTAAACACGGTTAATAAAAAAACTGTTTTTAAAATTGATGTGGGAGATAATTTTTTAGGACCTCAATTTCAATATTACATATCCGGAAAGGTGGTTAGGGAGGATAATAATGATGACTTAAACCAAAATAATACTATACATCTAATTGACTATTTTCCTGTTTTTCTATTTTCTGAAATAGAAGTTAGGAAACATAGTAAAGTGATAGACCAAATTGAATGTGTTGGAGTTGCTAGTACAATTAAAGGAATTCTATCTTTCTCTATTCGCTCCGTGCGAAGTCATGGAAAGGGAAGCAAAAGCGTACTAGCGCTAGCTGCGGATAATTCGTGCATTTTAGGGCGATATTTTGTAATTTTGGCATATCAAATACACGTATACATTTTACTTTTTTTCAAAAAAAGTAGGTAAAACCAATACAATAAGCAACCGGAGTTGCTGTGTTGAAAATTGTACAAATACTAGCAAAAAACAGTGAAACTTATACAAAAAATTTCAGTAGCAAAGTGGAAATTAAATCAAAGAAATAAATGGATAGATATACAATAAGAAGAAAAATTACCTTTATTTTTGTAATAATAACCGTAATGCTGCAAATAGTAGACATCAGAAACTTGAAAGGTTTTAAATAAACAATAAATTATCATTTTACCATGTTCTTTAATATCCCTTATTCTTAAATGTTCATTCAGCAAGGACTAGATTTCAAGATTTCTGCCTTTGATTATTATATGTGGTTGGAACGCAATTTTGTAACTTACTGATGGGAAACCAGTTTTAATCATTCATTCTATGTTTTCTTTCGAACAAAAATGAAAATATAAGTAATGATCCTTTTTTTATACATTTTAACTTCACGCTATTATTAAATGGTATTTTCTTATTTTGACAGAATAGACTAATTCTTCAATGAAAACATATTTGACTTAGGCAACTTCTCATACATTTTCCAGTAAATACTGTTGCCTGCCTATATTTTATTACTGATTTTTATCGATTATAAATAATTTTCTTTAATTTAAGCGATAAAAATATATAATAATAATAAATTAATGTTTTACTTGTTTTACAAATCCATATATTTTTATTAAAACTACCATATATACTTTTTAATTACGAATTCTAATAAAAGTTGCATTTGTCAGTGTACGCAGAAATAGTCCATTAGTATCAAAACGAATTGGCGCTGCTGTCGCGCACGGAGCGAATAGATGGAAATGGTCCCACAATTAATTCAGGATTTGAATCAAATTACAAAGCGAACGTTCATTCTTTTTCAGTGGTTGGTAACCTGTCTATTTTTGGATTAGGATTCTTCAAAGATGTTTAATATCCAATATTTAAAGGTGGTTTTGAGTTAATTTGAGGTCTATACCAGCCGCCTGTGATGGCTCAAAGATTTGAAACGCTCTCCATTGACCTTTTCGGACCACTTCCCGCTGCAACCAATGGAGAGAGACACATTTTTATTATCCAAGATTGCGCTAGCCGTCGAGTTGAGCTATTTGCCTTGATTAATGCTAATGCCGAAGCTTGCGCTAGATGATTAATTGACGAAATCTTGTTACAGTATGGTACACCACGAAGACTAGTGAGTAACAACGGTACTCAATTTGTCAGCGCTATAATGCAACAGGTTGTCCATTATCTGGGATTCAAGCAATCTTTGATACCCCTGTATCATCCTGCATCTAATCCAGTCGAACGACAGAACCGAGAATTGAAAACTCAACTAGCCATCCTAACAAATGAAGAATACCACGTGGAAAAAAAAGTTGCCCGCTCTTAGATGTTCAATGAATACTTCTTTTTGCTTCACCCCGGGATTTACCCCTGCATACGTTACTTTTGGACGAGAGTTAAGGACCCCGATGATGTTCAACGCGACATGTCCGTCATAGTTACCCATAACACCTTCATACCTCAGATAACCTATTATCTGCTTAATATAGGTAATGATTTAAGAAAGGCTTGTAAACGCAGAGAAGCTGCTCAAGACCGTGCGAAAGCCACTGCCGATAATCAACGTGCAACAAGGAAATAAAGTGATGATAAATATCTATGTACTTAGTAGTAGTAAAAATGCGTTTACTTTAAAATTCGCACCTAAGAGGAATAGACCATATCTTATTAGCAAAGTAATCACTCCGAACTTATAAAGTAACAGTTGTTACCAATCCGGAAGTTACCATAGAAAAATACCATATATTGGCCTTGTTTAAATATCGTAAACCCGATCACGAATGTATTCCTTCCAGACCATTACGAAAGAGAGGTGGACCACCTCACACCATGGACAAACCCTTGTCCTTGAATCTGAGCCGGAGATGTCACACCTAGATGACGAACACACTGATGAAAGTTGTGTTACCCCAGAAGAGACACCTGACCCTACGATTGAGACAAAGCGCCCTGTCAGAAGACGGACCCCAAAAGTCACTTGTGCTTGTTGCTCCGACAATCCACCCTTTCTTAGTATCTTGCCTCAAACTTCCCATGGTACGTCTGATACAAAGGAGGAGACTTTGTAACACCACCCCTGGTACCGGCTCTGTTTCCTGCTAGCAGCACCCGTGATTCTATGCCTGCATAGGGCTGCCGCCTATCGAGTGACAGACAGACTACGAGAGTGAGATTACCGCGATCCGCGATCGATACTAATCGACAATACAAATAATCTATCTTCTATATATATAAAATTGTTTGTCCTGACTGACTGACTGATTGACTGACTGACCTATCAGCGTACAGCCAAAACTACTAGGCCTAGAAAGCTGAAATTTGGAACATAGGTTTGTTTATAACGTAAGCATCCGCTGAGAAAGGATTTTTGGAAATTTTAACTTTAAAGGGGGGAAATGGGAGGAAATGGGGGTAGGGAGCTTTTAATGAAACTCTTTGTTCTTTAAAGTTAGAAACATGAAAATTTAAATTACAGCTGCTGAGCAAAAATAAATAATGACGTGTTTCAGGGTTTCTGGATTTTTTAAATTTTAAGGGGGGGAAACGGGGGGTGAAAATTTATTTGGGAGTATCCATGTATTTGGTTCTCTTTAAAGTTAAAAACATGAGAATTGGAAATGCAGCATGAGTACAAATTAATAATAACGTGTGTTAGGGTTTCTGGATGTTCACATTTTAAGGGGGGGGGAAACGGGGGGTGGAAGTTTATTTGGAAATATCGATTTTTTTAAAGGTAGGAACTTTAAAATTGGAATTGTAGGTTCTCATCATAAATAAATAATAGGTGTTTCATGGTTTTTGGATTTTCACATTTTAAGGGGGGAAAACGGGGGTGAAAATTAATAAAAATTAATAAAAAATTAATAAAAATTAATAAATATTAATAAAAATGAATAAAAATGAATAAAAATTAATAAAAATTAATAAAAATTAATAAAGATTAATAAAAATTAAGAAAAATTAATAAAAATTAATAAAAATTAATAAAAATTAATAAAAATTAATAAAAATTAATAAAAATTAATAAAAATTAATAAAAATTAATAAAAATTAATAAAAATTAATAAAAATTAATAAAAATTAATAAAAATTAATAAAAATTAATAAAAATTAATAAAAATTAATAAAAATTAATAAAAATTAATAAAAATTAATAAAAATTAATAAAAATTAATAAAAATTAATAAAAATTAATAAAAATTAATAAAAATTAATAAAAATTAATAAAAATTAATAAAAATTAATAAAAATTAATAAAAATTAATAAAAATTAATAAAAATTAATAAAAATTAATAAAAATTAATAAAAATTAATAAAAATTAATAAAAATTAATAAAAATTAATAAAAATTAATAAAAATTAATAAAAATTAATAAAAATTAATAAAAATTAATAAAAATTAATAAAAATTAATAAAAATTAATAAAAATTAATAAAAATTAATAAAAATTAATAAAAATTAATAAAAATTAATAAAAATTAATAAAAATTAATAAAAATTAATAAAAATTAATAAAAATTAATAAAAATTAATAAAAATTAATAAAAATTAATAAAAATTAATAAAAATTAATAAAAATTAATAAAAATTAATAAAAATTAATAAAAGTTAATAAAAATTAATAAAAATTAATAAAAATTAATAAAAATTAATAAAAATTAATAAAAATTAATAAAAATTAATAAAAATTAATAAAAATTAATAAAAATTAATAAAAATTAATAAAAATTAATGAAAATTAATAAAAATTAATAAAAATTAATAAAAATTATTAAAAATTATTAAAAATTAATAAAAATTAATAAAAATTAATAAAAATTAAAAAAAATTAATAAAAATTAATAAAAATTAATACAAATGAGTAAAAATTAAAAAAAATGAATAAATATGAATAAATATAAAAAATGAAAAAATGAATGAAAATCAATAAAACTAATAAAAAATTAATCATAAAGGGAGTCATGTATTTTTTTATATTAATAACACGACTATATGCGAGCAAAGTTGCGAGCAAAGCCGCGGGCAATAGCTAGTTATTAATATTTCTGTTCCTATTCTTATTTCACACATTAAAGTTTAATTCTCTTAATAAGCGCAGTGTTTTCATATTCTACGTCACCCGTTACAACACTTAATTTATGCAAGCAAAATTAGTTGTCAGTTTATGTAAAACTGATTTATCAAGTAAATATAGTTATTTAGGACTAAACCTTTATCAAATATTTTGTTTCATTATCTAAAACTAATATCAAATGAACTTGCATAAGTAAGAAATATAATTTTTCATATTTCTAAAACGTATATAAATAACTGTTTTTTTAAATGTTTCCTAAATAGCGTCAACTTCACCCACAATTAACCACTATCTAATAATTCTATTCAAGTATTTTGATTGATCGTTGTCGATACTCGAAAATGATAGACGACTTAATTGTAAAATTATTATAAAACAGTTTTTACTCACTGCAAAAAATATACCAAAATTCTATTAGAATATAATGAATTCAAATCAAGGTTAAAATTTATACGGGATGTCCAGTTTATTTTTAGTAATATTCAAATATATTTTTTTTTTTTATTTTAAATACAATAATTATAATTTATTGCTCTCATTCTATTTTCTAGGCGATACTTTACGCTATCGCTATTGAAGCAATCAGGCACACTTTTTTGGGATGAAGAGATAAAATACCAACTGAATTGTTTTTATGTATATTAAGCATAAAAAGTTGGTAGTGTAGGTAGATTTGGCCAACCATGTTTGGATTTGGAACCAACTGCCTGAGCTTTGGGGGGATCCTACCCTCTCCATTGAAAAATACCAAGTTGACGACATACTCTAAAACAGTGCTCCGCAACCTTTCCTCATCTGAGGCACACCAAACTGCTCCCTAGAATTTCGTGGCACACCAAAATCTAAAATATATTTATAGCAGTGGCGTAGCTAGGTCGGGGGTCAGTTCACTCCATGTATACTAATTATTTATGGATGTCCAAACTACCTTAGTTTTTTTTATTGTTTTAAAATGTGAAGAAGCCCCTTTCAGATTTGGGGCATCAAAATTTTCACTCAGGACATAATACATATTTTTTTTTTATTTTTTTTATTATTCAGATAGAATGAAAAATACAAATAGGTACATACATGAGAACTATACTAAATACTAGGTAGGACAGGTAGGTATACTAAATTTACTTCTGTTGACACGTCAATAGTAATAAATATTTTGACATGATGATGACTGATTAATGTGATACCTGCGCTTGCTTCGTTGAACACAAAAGTTTTATATTCGGCTCAATTTTAGACAGCGCAACTCTCATTTCTTGGTCAAGATCTTTTAAGCATGACCGTTTATCATTTTTAATTAATACAAGCGTTGAAAAACTTTGCTCACATAAATATGTTGTGGAAAACGGAAGTAGTGTGAAGATGGCCTTGTCGGTGATGCGTGGATATTCTGTCTTGATGGAAATCCAGAAAACATCTAACGGAACTTCGTCGAATTTAAGTTTTAGGGTCATATCATTACTTAATTCTGTGAACTCCTCTCGAGTTTGCAATGGCAGTGCTTCCGTGGAACTTATTGCATTGGTTGCGAAAGGATTTCGAATCCAATTGTATTGTTCCGTGTTGATAGAATGGAAATAGTATTCAAATTTTTGTTGAAGCATACTTAAATGTTGTTGGGCCAAATCCACAATCAACTGCTTGTTTTCGATCGTACTGTGGTTGGTCCTGTGATACATTTCTAGACATCCTTTTTGCAACTGTTCCTGCCAAAGTTCAAGTTTCTTTTTGAACCCTTGTAATTTATCGGAGCACGTCAATATATTTTCATTCCGTCCTTGCATTTTTTTATTAAGTTCATTCAGATGTTCGAATATATCCGCCATGTATGCAAGTTTGGCTATCCAGTATTCATCATGAAGGTGCTGGCATAGATCGTACATATCTTGACTTGAAAGAAACTCACGCACTTCGTAGCGAAGTTCAAACAGTCGAGCTAAAACTTTTCCCCGGGATAACCAACGAACTTCTGTATAAAACAGTAAGGATTCATGTTCGCTTCCCATTTCTTCACAGAGTATTCCAAAGATTCGCGAATTTAAGGCTCTCGATTTAATTATGTTTATGATCTTAATACATTCATTCATTGTGATCGAAAGCTGTTCGGGCAAATTTTTGACCATCAATGCTTCTCGATGTATGCAGCAATGTGTAATTTGTATTGACGGATTTTTTTGTTTTACACAAGATACAAAACCTTTCTTACTGCCCATCATTGCAGCAGCACCATCTGTACAAATAGCAACGCAATTGGTCCACTGAATATTATGTATTTTAAAAAAATTATCAGTTACTTGGAAAATTTGTTCACCGGTAGTTCTCTCTGGAACCTCCTTACAAAATAAATAATGTTCTTTAATAGAGTCCTCGTCAACGAAACGTACAATAGCCATCAGTTGTGCTTTATTTTTAATATCGGTTGATTCGTCGATTTGAAGCGCAAAAATTCCAGCCGAAATGATTTTTTTAATTAGTGTTCCCAAAATATCACTTGACATATCTTGGATACGTCGTTTAACAGTATCGGTCGACAAAGAAACTTTACTCACGTCCTTAACTTCGTTTGGCCCAAGCATAAGTCTAACAATTTCCATGCATGCTGGTTTAATAAGCGTTTCACCGATAGTGTGCGGTTTTTTTTGTTGTGCAATTAATTTTGCAACAAGGTAGCTTGCTTCTAATGCCTTTTCAGAAACCGTAACCGCCGATTTCATAAACTGCTTTTGTTTCTTATTTTGATCCAAGCGCCGTTGGAAAAATTGAATGTCTTTTTTGACGCAACTGGGATGATTTGTGATCAAATGACGGTTTAGTTTGCTGGGTACCATTGCTTCATTTGACAACTGTTCACCGCAAATGACGCATTCAGGCTTTGGAGCCGCTTCGTCGCCACACCAAGTGAAACCATATCGAAGGTAGTCTTGATTGTACTTCATTTTCAGCACCTTTTTTGCTCTTTTTGCAGCACTTATGCTGGAGCTTGTGCTAGGTTCTTCGTCATCTGCTCGTGATTTCAGCAAAAATTTATCCATATTTGAAGCACTATAGTTATTTATAAAAGTAGATACTGCAACAAAACTTAGTCCAGTTCACTTATTTATAAGGCACAAGAATTTATTTATATAGCAATTCACTATTTATTTCACTCTACGATTTATTTGTTTGCCCGCGTATTTATCTGATTCACTTGACTATTCGACTCTCTCTGAGTCTCTGAGCGACGACAGGCGCGCTTATATAGGCAGTGGCGATGTTCAGGAAAACATCGAGTCGCGCCTCGAACGGCACGGATCTTTCTAGTTTAGTCGCCTTCGAGAATCAAGCCGCCGCGCCGCGCCGATAGACGGATAGACGTTTACCATCGGCGCTGTTGTCAGATTGCTTTATTTTTCGCGGGTCTCGCTACAATACGAATCTGATTCGTATTGTCTGCAAGAGCGGCACACCTCAAGTCGGCTTACGGCACACCAGTGTGCCGCGGCACATCGGTTGCGGAGCACTGCTCTAAAATAACGAAGTCCCACAATAGATGTGAAAAGATCGCCGTGGAATCTAATCTAGGTTAGAATTAAATTACCCACTGATCGTTTCTAATAATCAGACTGTGAAAAGTGAAATGCCCCTCAAAGTGTATTGTTTAATAAAAAAAACTAAAAAAAAAATACAATGGACAAAAATATTTTTATTAACAATGTATTACTCTGTTTTTTTGTATGACTAATATACAATACATATGTTTCATTTAAAACAAATTTTTAGCTTGGTATATTTCATTGTTAAGCTGGCATTTAATTTCAATATAGTCTTCAACAATACCCGTATCCCACGTGACTAAATTGATGTCATCAGTTGGTTAAAACTAAAATTAATAACTTCAGCAAGTAAACTCTACAACAATGTCACTAACCTATTTGACAGAACTAAAAGTAACTAAAAACGGCCATATTATGGCCATTTCATTAAATTTCTTGTTTAGCCGGATCACGTGGGATACGATTATTGTTGAAGATTCGTTACAAACGTTTTGTAAAGCACAATTACAGTATCTATAAAATGAAAACAAATGTATCTTTGGATTATTCATCTTTCGTTAAGAATAAATTAGGATAAAATATTAAACCTTGTATAGAATCATCTCTACAACATTTCCCAAACCTTTCTGCAGTTAGTAACCTTTCTTTAGCTAATGTCAGAGATATTCCTAAAGTTTGTGATAGTTCTTCAGCTGACAAAGACTCTTTATCTTCAATCTAAAAAAAAATAATTCATTTAACTTAATACTCGCATATCATCAAAAAACAAAAGTTTATAAATATATATCAGACTCAGAATATGTAACATAAGGAGGGCCACAATGTACTGCACTAAGCCCGTTATTCTTCTTGGATTACATAAATGGTATAAATGAATATATAAAGTACTGTTTCGTAATCTGTACGCAGATGATATTATTATTGGTTTCGAGTGCACATTATTGAGAGAGAAAGTATAATGTAGGTATTAAGGCTTAGTTTTAAAAAATTAGAAATAAATACAACAAAACAAAAATCTATGATTTTAGGCAGAGGAAACTGTTTAAAACGATTACACCCGAACTTACCAAAGCCGCCATACCACATTGCAAAATATTTTTAAAAAACATTTAACTTTTTCTGTAAATTTACAGTTTTTTCTGTAAATTTACAGTTTTTCTGTAAATTTAGTTTTTCTGTAAATTTACAGTTTTTTGACAATTTACTTTTTCTGTAAATTTCATGCGAAATTTACCACTACTCAGCAATACGACGCCACGGCATCGAAGTGTTCTTTTTTCAGTAGTGAAAAGTGACTTATTCTATGCCACGCCGGTTAAGTTGCCTTAATACTTACTTGCAAGATGGTAGTACGTGGCATTGGAGAAAGTTTTTCAAGATTTCGGAAGCATATAACAAGTGGTAATTATATAGGAGCGGTTAATAATGTCATGAAATTCCTAATCCGACTCTGTCTAAGCAAGCAACTTTCACTCGACTCATGCTCGAAACTACGGAATCTTCGAGGTATGCCGCTGACGCTCTAGAAACGGGTAGAACGGGCGATGCGTGCCGTTGAATCAGAGATAGAATTTTCGGGAGCGTCTAGAGACTTCTCGTAGCAGAGTTGGACTTGGTAAAAATAGCCGACTCATCGTCGGGCAGTTTAATTTAGTATAAAGTGTTACACAAGAAAAGTTAAATTGTAATAAATAAATTAGAATTGCGAGTTAGTGCCTAAGTAATATATAAATTAATTAGTACGTCATAAATAAATTGTAAATAGTGTTTCAAATAAATAAACTATAAATAAATTAGACTATCGTAAGAATAATCTTAGTTAAAGAAAATAAAGCTGGAAAAAGACAATGTTGTAAATCGTGCTCTATACCGAATTACTCCAAGAGAAAGAAACACTGCATGGAAGGGACATTACAGAAAATTTGGTGGCTAACCAGACTATTCGTCTAAGTGAATTTCCATATGGTAGTCCTGTGGCACAGGCCTGTCACTCCCTATACTTCCCATGTTAAATTCTGGCTCAAATCTCAATGACCTCGGTACCTCTTCCCTATTAGTCTGGGGTATTTTTGACAAGTCTGGGGTCACCAATCAGCACGTTGGTTGCTGTCACATGGAGAAAAATGACATCGAAAAGTAAAAAATATTCAGATTTTAAGCCACTTGAAGACAAAATTAGTGTGGTTATTACAAATTTTTTATTTTGGTTTTTAAAATAATGTTGACGTCGATGCCTCCTCCCTATTGGTCTGGAGTATTTTTGACAAGTCTGACGTGAGAAAAATGACATCTAGAAAAATGATTAGAATTTTTGCACAAACCTTTGAATCACAAACCTTCATGATGTAATTTGTATTAAAAAAAATACAGATCTATAACAAAATTAGATCATAAATAAATGTTTGAACCAAAAAAGAGAAATGATCAGAAAGCTAGGTTATATTAGATTAGATACATTTACCCGCGTAAAATATTTTAAATTTTCAAGGTCACAGACTTTCAGATCGATTGACATTTCAGTGCGATCTCTTGTGTTAACTATACTCTTTGCCTGTGGTTTTGGTAAAAAAAAAGTTGTGCATACATACCGGTTCTGGGTTCATTTTAGAGAACTATCAGAAACTGTTAAGAATTGAAAAGTAAATTAAATCAGAATGGCCGAACGGTCTATGAAAGATTCAACTTGTTTTAAACAGCACCATTAAAAAATAAACAAACGCTACAGTTACTTTTGGGAATTCAATTCCGCTAATACAAGCTTAACTGAAAAATGTGTCAAAAGATTTGACCTCTGTCAGTGGTTGAGCCGGATGTGATGACTGCGGTCTCACATGTTTTTTATATCATTATTGCTTATATTTATCGGTCTCAGTCCCGTCAGTGGTTGAGCCGGACGTGGTGACTGCGGTCTCCACATATAAATTTATTTTTCAAAAGATGTCCAATTGACACAGTAGTGCCGAGAACGTCACTAGCGTCAGAATCGACCGTGTTAGCAATTTTACTCAGAGTCGCCTCTGGTCAGGGCGATAAGCACAAATTGATGACAAAGCGTGAATACCCCGGTTTTTCGTCGGCATTATGTTGGTGTTTCACAGACATAATTCTGAAAAGTACAATCAACGTGGTCGATCTCTCTGCGCAGAATTACTGGCTGGATACTCGTTACGTTATTACTTGTGTTTTTGTATTCAATATCCATACGATTATAGTGATGTTTACTCATGTTTTAATTTTTAATTTTAATAATCATTTATACTCCCTTCGTTTCTAACAATATATAGTAGTGCTCACATCTCAATGAAATCAGTTTAAAATCGTGAGCTTTAAGAGTATTTAGAAGTTCCATTATCTAATACCAAAATAATTGTAAAAATAATAGACATAAGTGTAATTGTGGTTTAACATTCACAATGATAGATAATTTACATCGACATCAAAATAAAAGTTGTAAGATGATATCTAATCGCACTGGTGAATCATCCAGAGGAACGAAAGGTCTTGATCATAAAGAAAAAGCCTGCACAATTCAGGCCGATGGTATATAATTAATTCAGAGAGCGTTTAAGCGCAGAATCGCAAGTTACAGAGTCAAAAGTGATGAAAAATATAGATTATAGAACATTTTTTAATGCGATAAAATTTAGATGAATTTTAAATGCCAAACTTTGGGATCCTATTCTGATTTATATTTAAAATCAATGTTTTAATGTTGTGCGATATATTTGAAAATTTCAGGGATATATCGGTTAAAGCATATAAACTAGATCCGGCACAATTTTATACATCTCCAGGGCTGTGATGGGATGCGATTTTGCGCTACACCAAGGTTGGAACTGTTGACAGATATAGATATTATTCATTTTTTCAGAAATAGTATACGTGGCGGTATCAGCCAATGTGTAGAAAGAAAACATACCGCCAATTATCCATATTTATCTGAATATAATCCATTCGAGCCGAAGTCTTCTATACATTATATCGATGCGACAAATCTATGGGTATAACATGAGTCAGCCTCTACCCACGGGGGAATTTGTTTAGTTATCGACTGAGGAAATTAATCAGCTCGACGTTATGTCAGTTGATGATCTCGGGGATTATGGTTATGTATTAGAAGTTGATGTAACATATCCGCATCACCTTCATGATAAACATGCCGATTTACCATTTTTTAGTAGAGAATATAATTACACCTAATTCCAAAACAGAAATCCCCAAACTGGTTCCCAATTTGAATCATAAAGACAAATACATATTACACTACAGAAACTTCAAACAGGCCATGAATAATGGACTAATTGTAACTAAAATTCATCGCGCCCTCAAGTTTAAGCAGTCTCGTTGGCTGAAAAAATATATAGATCTCAATATAAATATGAGAAACAATGCTAAGGACACATCCGAGAAAAATCAATTTAAGTGAATGGCCGTGCAAAATCTGGATGACAGACGTGATATTTATCTTAAAACTCACTGGGCTAGTAAGAGAAATTTCCCGGGGACAAAAAACTTAACTTAACTGGTCCGAATTTTAAGTCTTGTTCATTATTTTCACAGAACTTGGTGGCTATACATATGGGTAGAACTAAAATATATTATAACAAACCACTGTACGTAGGTTTCACGGTGTTGTAGTTGTCAAAAGTAAGGACGTATGATTTCTATTACGGTATATTAAAACAACAATTAGGCGATAAAATTTCCTTACTTTACAAGGATACTGATACTTTTATGCATAAAGTTAATTCAATATTGAACATTTTGACACATCTAATTATAAAGCTGATAATAAATTTAACTTACCAGTAACTAAACCAATAGGGAAATTTCAAAGATTAGTATCCAAATCAGGCTACCTTTTAAAAACCGAAAGTCTCATACAAACTTTCTCCTCCCGTTTCCCCCCCTTTATGTCTTTATTTATAAAAAGTAGTCACAATTCTATTTTCAATTTTCTACCTCTAAAAAAAGCGATTACTCCATACAAACTTTCTCCCTGTCCACCCTTTCTCCCTTTTCTTCCCTTCTCCCCTTTGCCCCTTAAAATATGAAAATCCAAAATCCCTGAAACACACATTATTTATTTGTGATGAGTAGCTATAATTCCAATTTTCAAGTTCCTACCTTTAAAAAATCGATACTTCCATACAAACTTTCAATCCCCGTTTCCCCCCTTAAAATCTGAAAACCCAAAAACCCTGAAACACATCATTATTTATTTATGCTCAGTAGCTGTATTACAAATTTTAATGTTTCACTACCACTATGCAAAAAATCATGTCTGTGAAAAACAAATCTATCCCACGGGAACTGTATATTTTTAAAAGTAGCCTATGTGCTATTCCAGACTATAATCTATCTTTGTGCCAAATTTCATCCAGATCCGTTCAGCCGTTATTGCGTGATTGAGCAACAAACGTCCATCCAAACTTTCGCATTTATACTAGGTGACTCAGAGTAAATTTCCCTTTTTGACGCGCCTCGTATATCCAACTTAATATTTGTGGTGGGGTTAGCGCACCAAATCCTTTGGATATCTACTTGACATCCCAATATCCACTGAATGTCCAGTCCATGGTGGATATCTATTTTATATCCATGAGATGTAATTTATAGACAACATGCAAATGTCCATAAATAATAGTAATTATATAGCAAATTATTAAAAAATTACGCCATTGTGCTCGCCATTGTGGCTAATAGTACCGTTCAGATATTTAAAATTAATTTTTTTTAAGGTGTATTCAATATCCCATGGACATCCACTAAATATATCAAAGTCTAGGCGCGAACGCAAACCATGGTGCATATCCACTAGATGTAATTTTTGATTTTGCTTACTAAGTATAGATGGCGATACCACTTTCGCTCGTGCTCATGCTCAAACCGCCGTAATTGAGTTCGATCGAAATTTTTTTCCCATTCAGACTCCATTAGAGACTGGAGTCGAGAATTTCCATTTATTGCTGAAGAGTGAAGAGTCCTAATAAGGATGACTTTCTCCTTAGTGGGCAAAATCAAAGGCAGAGTGTTGAAAATATTTTTATCTCTGCCATTTTCTTTCGACGTTATTCAACAATCATTGGTTACTTATGAACCTCTACTAAAGATACCCATAAAATATTTTGCTGAATATCCGAATATCTTCTATATCCTGGGATAGACGGACATTTGGATATCCTGATATCCATATTAGATCCACTGGATATATTGGATATTTCTGGGATTTCTTGTATTGTCTGGAGATACCCATTAGATATTTTGCTGGATATATCCATAGGATTTCTTCTATATTCTGGATATAGACGGACATTTGGATATCCATATTAGATCCACGGGATAATTCTGATATCCTGTAGATGTACTGGATATCCACAAAAGATATTCTGTGGATATCTCTGGGATTTGGTGTGTTGTCTGGGCGCTGGCAATTTGCGGCGAATGCGGATTATCAGTAAACATGGAGCAGTGGTCGAACGAGCAACGTGCGTTTATGGTCGAGGCGTTTTTTAAATCGAACGATTCCTATGTCGCGGCACGGGCACGTTTTTGTAATCGTTTCAATATTCGGCGTATACGTGATGCTCCGTCAAAAAAATTTATTGAAATCGTGGGTTCAAAGATTCAGACAAAGTGATACAGTGGCAAATTAGAAGCGTCCTGGCCAACAGAACAGAACGCCAGAGAACATTGAGATTGTGCGACGTGCTGTGACTGAAAATCCGATGCGCTCAATTCGAAAACATGCCCAGGCCCTGAATATTCATCGCTCAAGTGTGCAACGGATTTTAAGCAAAGACCTACGGTTCCATCCCTACAAAATTCAATTGGTACACTTTTTAAAGCCCACAGACCACGAAATCCGAAACAATTATTGTGAGACAATGATGAATATGTTTTGGGATGAAGGAGGCTTAGGCAACATTTTATTCAATGATGAGGCTCACTTCCACCAGGAGGGGTATGTAAACAAACAAAACTGTCGATATTGGAGCCCCGACAACCCAAAAGAAAAGCATCAAAAACAATTGCATTCCAAGAAAGTAACAGTTTGGTGTGCCATGTCGTCTACTGGAATAATAGAGCCCTACTTTTTTGAGGATGCCCGTGGCTGCTCTGTAACGATAACAAGTCAACGGTACACTGCAATGCTCCACCAATTTTTGACTCCAGCCCTTCAAAACGTCCCTGGCTATAACCCCAATTGGACCTGGTTTCAACAGGATGGGGCGACGGCACACACAGCAGCAATATCAATGGATACTGTACGTGAATTGTTTCCAGGAACTGTTATTTCGAATCACCAGATCTTACGCCCCTAGATTTTTTTTACGGAACAGTTGAAACACAACATTCGAGAGGCCATTGCCATCATTCCTGTTGAAATGTGTCAGCAGGTTTTTCAACATTTAAGAACATCATTGGAGGAGTGCTATCCGAGGGATGGTCGACATTTGGACAACATTGTGTTTAAAAAATAAAATCCGCATTTCTGTACTTTCAAAATTTATTAATAAAATTATCCCAACACTTTTTATTCTGTTTTTATAGCATGTTAAAAAAGGAAATTTACTCTGAGTCACCCAGTATATTAAGTAAGAGTAAGATGGCCACCATTACAACAATGGAAATATCATTCTTTCACTTGACGTCAAATTAAGACATGATCTGTAACCGGGGTAAGCTTAATATCGGATGGCGTAGATGTGTTGTCTATAAGTTTTTTGGTATTGTACGCTGTGATAAATGTGCTAGATATGGTCACATTGCAGCAAAATGTAAAAAAAAACAGATGTATGTTACCACTATACTGCTTCTCATAAAGTTAGTGAATGCCCCGACTCATTAAATAAGAAATGCATCAACTGCTGAGAATCAAATAACAAGTTAAAAAAATCGCCGAAAACAAATCTGATCCTGATTGTCCCTGTTATAAGCGTTTTCCGGAAATGGAGATAGGCAAAACTAAACATATTTAGCTATAAAAAACCTAAATAACAAAACTCTCAGTCTGTTTCATCAAAATGCCGGGTCTTGTTGGAATGAAATAAATATGGTTGTAAGTGAACTGCAAGTGGATCTTGTTGCCATTACTAAACACTGACAGACGGAGGATAGTTCGTCTGCTTTTCATCTAGAAAACTACAATCCTTATTACCTTATACTGTCACAGGGCAAATCGAAATACATCAACTGGTTTGGATATGTATACTGCATACAAACCTCCAACAACCGAGTTCTCTACTTTATCGAAAAGATGGATCAACTATTAGACAAAGCTTGTCAGGATAATAGGATAGTCTTGGTTGCCGAATATTTTAATATTGATATGTTAGTTAATGCTAAAATTTTAAAAATTGGATAATGGTTAATAATTTGTTAGATGTCTATAATATGTAAATTAGTATTACTGAACCCACGAGAGTCATATCTACCTCCAGTACCTGCCTTGATAATATTTATGTACCACAGTTTTTAATGTATAATGCTAGGGTTGTAAACACAAATATATCTGATCATAAAGCTCAATATATGTCAATAGTTGGAAATAATTGTAGGCCCAAAACAGAGCATGAATATAAACGTATCTTGAGCAAAAGAAACTATGCTAAGTTTAACTCACTATTAGCATGTGAAGCTTTCATATCATTCTGAAAATGATATGCATAATATCTTCATTAATAATCTTTGTGGAGACTATAATGAGACTTTCCCATTAAAAAAAATGAATATGGGCAAGACAATAAAACCCAAGTGGAGGTCTCAAAAAATACTCTTATCTTATATCGGAAATGTATTTATCAAATCTCTAAATATCAATTGAACTAATTTAACAATATTATACGAATTTAATACAGAATGACATAGAAATTTTTACAATAAGAAAATCTTATCATCAGATAATGAAACAAAAACTGTTTGGAATATCACAAACTTTGAATTGGGCAAAGCTACAACAACTACCCTACTGTAAAAGGTATGCTGCTACAAATGTTTGCAATTTTATAATATACTTCCTGATGTTTTAAAAAACTAAAAACACTAAGAGCCTATCAGCTTTCAAAAGTAAGGTCAAACAAATTTTGATTTCTAATTTCTACTGAGCTTTGCAGCTTAGATGATGTAAACAAAGTGATTGTAAGTAATTATTATTTGTAAATACTTTGTGAAATCAACAGAAATCTATACTAGTTTTCAATGCTAATATGGGTTTTGCTGGGTTCTCCATATTTCCTAGCAAATGCACCACTAAATTCACTTTTAAGTCACTCCAGTGTACACTTTGTAGGTCATCAAACTACTACTTATACCATACAATTTTATATGCATTTTTTTCTGTATTTTTCCTGGCATTAATAAATATTTATTATTATTATTAAATCATTTCTCTGATGGGCATCATTAAATATATGAACTATTGTTACTATATATGGGTCCAACTCTTTTCTATATTTTTGTCTTTTCGATTTGTTTCAGATAATCTTTAAAATTACGATTTATTTTATTTTTTGTTCATATATATATAGGTACCTATATTTTTTTTTAATTTTGTATGAATTTTATGTTTTTGTTTATTGTAATGGTAATAAATTAACTTTTTCTAGATCTGACTCTTTTTCATAACTTTGCCAATGTGTTTTTTAATGAAAAGGGGAGCATTATTTTTAGTCCCTTACAGGCGCCAAATATCTTAGGAAGGCCCTGACCACTCCAATATTATTTTAAATCTTAAAAACTTTTGAGACACTAAATTAATGTTCTCTACCACTGATGCACTTGGTATTAGTAATTAGTAAATTATTAAAATTGCACATACTAAGCTAGCAGTAGCTTCTGCAATACTAGAGCTATCCAAACTGCTAAGTTGTAAAACCATTACTCCTGAAGAAAACTCATATAACTTCACAGGCAAACATAGGCTCTCCATAACTTTACAAGCATTCAGAATATCTTCGGGAGATAACAATTCTAAACTTCTTGCTCGATTTACCCAACAAAAAACATCAGTAAGAGCCATCATGCCACCCATTTCTTCTACATGTTTTTCTAAAAAGCTACAAATCTGTCTGGCCAGACTTTCATAATACAGATTATCAGATTTGTAAGACTCCCTTGTAACTGGATCATCTATACCCAGACTTAACAGGTAGGATTTAAACCTTTAATAAAAAATAATTATAGTAAACTAGATTATCTCCTTATATTTCAACATACCTTACTGTTTCATCTTCAGTTATATCTCCCTGTTTCTCTTTAATTTTATTAGATATTGTTCTAGATATATTAACCATATCTTTAGCCATGGTCATTAACTTGCTTAAATCTTGAAAAGCCATGTTTATATTGTCATCAGTTTCTTTTTGTTTTTGTTGTAAGCTTCGTTCAATTCCTACAATTCCCAACCTTTGCTTGATAGTAGGAATATTAGGCTTATCAGGTTGAATTTGTGTTATTGGAGATGGAATATGAGCCTCCCATGGTCTAGTTTGCATTAAATTATTAAGAAGACTGAGTACATTGTTTGTATAGCCTTCACGAAAAGACAGTTTTATGAAATTGTAAATACTTGTTAACTGAGGACCATTTGGGGAGTCTAAAAATTAATTCTAATTAAAAATGTTCTTACATTTTACTCAAATTATTTACCATTTGTTTCTGCTAAATGTAATACTATCTTTCTAGAGCGACTAAAACTAAATGCACTTGGTGATTCCTCCTCTAAAAATACTACTAAGTTTAAATGTAGTGCAAGACATGTTTGACCTCTGGCTATTTGTCCAGGTCGCCCCCATAGTATTCGATGGGTTGTTATTATTAATTCTCCACCCTCAAATGATGTCTAAAATTAGTTACATAAATATTATGTTAAATTAAACAGAAAACCATAAAAAGAAAACACACCTTTTGGTCACCATCGTATAACCTAACATTATTTTCTACTGCCACAGTGGATTCTCCATCTAATAGAAGGGGACTTGTATATTTTATTCTATTCATCTTTAAACACCTCTTTTTAAGTCCGTATACTCCGTATGCGTATTTATAAACAAAACTCAGCTGAGTCGTACTCTTTCTTCTTCTTTTAGTTTTTTGGCCTCCACCCTTTGGGTATTTAGCCAACGCAGGTAATTATTGCTGCGTTTGAGAATCCACATCGGATGCATTTTTTACATCTCGAGCGTTTTTTTATCCACATCGGACACATCTATCCCATTACATTTACGTATACTGAATCACGTGATCAAAGATTTTTTTACATCTCAGATGCATCCGATGTGGATTCTCAAACGCGGCATAAGGCCCGTATTTATAAACAGAACTTACGTGAGTCGGACTTGGGTAAGTCGTCCTTGAACGAAAATCGAAGTTCGGTTACAACGTTTCTAAAGTTCTAGGTAGTTCTGGTATTAGATTGGAATTTAGAGATGGATATTAGCAAATTTGTAACTGTTATGTACATTTACGGATTTGTTACTACCCATCTCTAAATTCACGCGACATAACCGAACTTTGATTTTAGTTCAAGGACGACTTACCCAAGTCCGACTCAGCTGAGTTTATATCATTCGATCATATATTAGGATAGATACATTCGATCATATATTAGGATAGATACGCCTTACCTGTGGAAGCAATGGGTTTAATGATTATCTAGACGGGGAGAGAGGAAAGGTACACAAACGGAGAACTTGGCAGTGCCGTACCGTATGGAAGGGGTTATATATATTGTTAATTACTATAAAATGCTAGATGAAAGCGAATAGTCATGATTTTAAAAATATTGTTTTATAACGTATATTTTTAACTTTTAATGTAAAAATAGTTTTTCCTAGTATTGTGATATTACATAGACCATCTACAGGCTTGTCATTTTGTATATTATTTACTCAATTTTATAGGATTATTAATTTTGTACTTTAAACAATGGGTACTATGATTGAACGTTTACGTTATCCGTAACGTACATGTTAGGGCGAATTTTAAAAGTAACGAGGCAAGTTCGGATGATGGAAAACTGTTAAATTAGAAGATAACAGTAACGTGTTGGAAAAAGTTTTCCATCATACGAACTTGCCTCATTACTGTTAAAACTCGACCTAACATGTACGTTACGGATAACATAAACGTTCAATCATAGGACCCAATTTGTATACATTTTGAGTAAATATACCTACTATAAAGCTTGACCGATAAAGGAGAATAAAAAAATATTGTGAAGAACCCGTTTTATATGTGAAGCAAGAATATTATACATATTTTTGACTACATACCTTCCTTTATGAATTAAAATAAAGACTAATTAAAGCATTTTATTTATCAACCAAAAATAGTTATACGTATTTGTGTGTATACTAATGTAATTAATGAACTTTATTATTTACAAAGTACTGTAGCAAAATTTTGCCGTATACAAGTTAGAGGGAACAGAAGAAATAATGGCATTGTGTTCTCTATTTTAACAATTCTGACAATGCATGAAGTGGTGTGACTAATTTAAAATGGTTTTATTTGGATAGATGGCTATTTTTTAAAAATCTAAATGCAAATAAAAACCTACAATAAATAGGTACATTTTATTTCAAAATTAAGTTCCATATTAAATATATTTAAAAATAGGCTTCATGATTTGGATTTTAAGTCTTTATTTTCATTTTTTAAAATAATATTTAAAGTAGTTTATTCGTAAGACGGCTTTTCTTAAGAATTCAATAAAATTGAAATATAAGGTTAAAGAAAGTGTCTTTTACGTACCGAACTAAAAAAAAATTTTTTTTTGACCGAAAGAAGAGTCACTTCCATGGTTTTATGCAATATTCAACATTTTAACTGACAGTTGGCAACGTTGTAACCATTTGCAATTGAATCGGTGAGTGAAAGAACAGTATAAGTGCCAAAAACGGTATAATTTTAACTGAGATAGGCAAATTTTTTAAAATTCATAGGCCTATTACATAGCGAAAGAATAATACACTGACCAACATAATACGAGCGATGGGGGCTTGTTCAATTTTCGGCTGAGTGAAAAAACAGTACGGCCCATGTACTGTTTTCTCACTCAGTAGCCATGTCGTTTCGCAAACAAATTTGACACAGATTTCAAAAACTGGTGGTTGCAATTTCATAAAATTCTATTGGCAAAACATTGGATTTCAAACAAAATGTTCGATTATTATAGCTGAATAAATCTTCAGGTGAAAAGTGATGTGAACAAACTTTGACATCTTTCAGTTTTGAAATCTTCCTCATTTATTTTCAAGTTGTTCAGCCACAATGACATTGGACAATGTCTTTCGGAAACCTGTAAATGTATATACCATAAAATTACCAGTTTCTACAATTAGGTATTTTTATATCAAGAAATAAATAAAACTCTAGCACAGTTGTTACACCCATGGACATCTACATTATTTACATTTCATGACATTGATTTTGACATAACCTACCTGTGAAAATAGCGAGCGTTGGTTTTGTGTGGTTTTGGGCCAAAATGTTCGGAAAACTATACATCTCTTTACTATTTTGAAATGTATAATCACGTTTGTAGACAATTTCTTTTATATAAATAAATAAAACAAGAATATTCCACAAAAATAAAACACCGAATGACACTTTTAGAAACATACACAAACAGGTTTGCCAAATTTTCAGTTAAAATATGGTATTTATTGGTTAAACCGATGTATCCTAGAGAACAAAATCTTAAAACATCTAATTTAAACACCGATTCAATGCAGAACAAAATTAAATGAGAAATTTTATGAATATGATCCAGATTCTTAAATGAACTGTTAAATATTAAGCTCCATATTAAGTATCATGAATCTTGAAACATTGCGAACTAATCGGCTCTATCAAGCTAGCGGGCACTCTGTGGCGGCACCATACAAGACCTGGTGGGTTTTTTGTAGCTTTTTTGTTACGCTATTTGCGAATTTGTAGCTTTGCCCAGGTCCGAAAAAACAGCGGATCTGCTAGCTTGAATTTCCATAAATTCCATAGTAGCGGCACAGATTCAGACCCAGCTGGTTTTTCGTAACTTTTTTGTAGCTTTTTTGTTACGCTAGTCTCCCTTTTGTAGCTTGTACTGAACCTGAGAAAAGCGCGAATCCGCTAGCTTAGCGGATATTTGTAGCGGCACCAGCTCGGACTAGGCTCATTTTTTGTAATTTTTTTGTAGCTTTTTTGTTACGCCTGTCTCCATTTCGTTGCGAGGCCTGAACGTGAGTAATAATCGTTTCTCCATGAGCGTGAGAGAAAAGTGCGTTCATTTAAAATCAAGTTTCGGCCTCTACAAATAATATGTGCAACTCGATAGTGTGACTATCTGTTGATAGATGGCACCAGTATTGCATTTCACGAATTATGGCCATCTTCCATCCAATATATTTTTGTTTTTAAATGTTTTTTAGTGTTGTTTATGTACGTATTTAAACTTTTGTTGAATCCAGAATATTCTTACATCTTTTTTGAATGATTTCCTTAACCAATCGTTTTGCAGTATTTATGGACCAGTGTTTAATTCTGTCGGATCACAACTATACAGTGTGTTCCATCTCAGACGAGCCACCCCGTATTTCTTATCCGTAATTGGAAAAATTTCCCAAAACACGTCGGATGATTTTCTTTGGGGACATCGATCTTTTGACGTATATTTGAGGCTTGAACAAGCAAACCCCCTATGAGGGGGCGCTTCAACCCCTCAAAATGGAATAGGAAAGAAGGGTTGAGTGATACATCATTTGTAAGGTCTTGAAAGCCTCTTTACAACGGTGTATGAAAAAAATCACATTCTTAAAAAAAATTAATTGTTTTATCACATGAAATGATCGAAGAACAAAAAAAATGAAGGCAAGATAAGAAAATGTTTTGATTTTTTTTTATTTATTAGTTCGAGAGAATTTATTATTGCATGGAAGTCAATGGAAGACAAATTGAACATTTCATTTAAAAACGCAGTTTTGATTTTTTTGATTGTAAGCATGAGAAAACAATTGATTTTTTTTCATACACCGTTTGTAAAGAGGCTTCCAAGACCTTATAAATGAAGTATCACCCAACCCCTCTTCCCTAATCAATTTTGAGGGGTTAAAGCGTCCCCTTATAGGGGGTTGCTCGTTCAAGCCTCAAATATATATATACGTCAAAAGATGGCCCCCAAAGAAAATCATCAGACGTGTTTCGGGAAATTTTTCCAAGTACTATGGGATAAGAACTATACGGGGTGGCTCGTCTGAGATGGAACACCCTGTATATAGTGAGAATAGGTAATTGCTTGGTAGCTATTACCACCGGTGTGAAGTTAGCAGTAAGTTTTTAGCAGTAACAAGTATTAGAAATTAAAAATTTAAAAAAACCGACTTCAAAAACGTTCCAAATTTATATGGGACCACCCCGAGGTACCCCCTTACTAACAAAAAAAGAATCATATAAATCGGGCAAGGTGGTAAAGCATTATCGCTAAACATACATAAAAAATGAAGAGTTTGAGGATTTTCTCATGGACCCAATTATTAGATTTTGGCCAAATATATATGGTACCACCCCTGAAGTACCCCTTTTCTAACAAAAAAATAATCATTGAAATCGGACACCTTGTTAAAGAATTATCGCTGAACATACGTAAAAAAAAAATATCGCGACGAATTGAGAACCTCCTCCTTTTTTGAAGTCGGTTAAAAATAACCGAAAACACCCGATCGGCAAAATAGTGGCGTCCGGCATACAACTATTTTAATAATCTTGCCAATATGTATTTTACATTAATATCGGACAAATAATTAATATACATACCGTTGAAAATGTCCGATTTTGAGATATCTAAATTTCTCAAAAATATATTGGATGGAAGATGTCCATAATTCGTGAAATGCAATACTGGTGCCATCTATCAACAGATAGTCACACTATCGAGTTGCACATATTACTTGTAGAGGCCGAAACTTGATTTTAAATTAACGCACTTTTCTCTCACCTCATGGAGAAACGATTATTACTCACGTTCAGGCCTCGCAACGAAATGGAGACAGGCGTAACAAAAAAGCTACAAAAAAGTTACAAAAAATTAGCCGGGTCCGGGCTGGTGCCGCTACAAATATCCGCTAAGCTAGCGGATCCGCGCTTTTCTCAGGTTCAGTACAAGCTACAAAAGGGAGACTAGCGTAACAAAAAAGCTACAAAAAAGTTACGAAAAACCAGCTGGGTCTGAATCTGTGCCGCTACTATGGA